GCCAGAAATCCCCCTGACGAAATACGAAAAATAGATTCTACATATTTGTTTCTTTTTAAATTTATTATTAAAAGATACCTTAAGAAATGAATTGGTTTTTTGTTTTGTATACTTTTGAATTAGATAAGATTGAATAATGAAACATACAAATTTACATGAAAATATACATATCGATCAGAAAAGCCGGAACACGAATGTATATATGAGTGTTTAATAAATTAAAAAAAAAAACACACACACGATGCTTTCTAATTCGTTCAATGTAGGTGCGCCTTTTCCTTGACAATATCTCCTTGGCACGTTTCTCTAACGATATTTTACATGCATATAAGAAAGCTACCATACCTCTTAGAGATATTATGGTTCATTTTCATTATAAGAGAAGAGGGAGAAGTTAGAATGAACGATTACGGATAATATTTACTAATTAACAAACAAGAAAAACATACAATCCCGTTTTCTATTTATCATCAAGTAGAATCAGTAGTTTTCAGATTAATTAATATAAAAATAAAAGAAAAATAAAACAAGTGGAATATTATTCAACGTGGAATGATGGACATCTGGAACACTCTGTTTACTAGACCCAGATCTGTGTTGGCTCTTTAACGTGATTTAGAAAACAATTATCTAATTAAAATACAGCTCCCCTTCATCCCTGTATCCCACCAACCTCTGACGGTACAATTATGTTGCTCTAATTGTTTGATATTAGCGAAAATGTAAGTATTTTATAATGAATGAAATAATGAGAAATGATGAATTATTTTCTTCGTAATGATTATCATAATTTGATTGAATTTTATTATCATTTACGAAATCGTTCTAAAGATATTTAGATATTTTAAAATAATTTTAAAAATCAATTACTGTCTTTTTACACTGTATTGTTTTTTACTGTCACAATCAGTCCGATACACACGTCTTTAAGTCAACGAATTACGTTATACCGTCATCTGTTAGAATCTTATCGAACTAACAGAGATAATCATGACTCTTTATTTAATAAACAAATAATTCGCGATTAATAAAATAATATTGCGAATTATAAATTGAAATATAAACTATCCTATCTTTCAAGTTGAATGAAACTGCAGACAGTGTGGAAAATTTGATTAAAATCGATTCAGTAGTTTAAGAGTCCATTGCGGACAAACATTGTGACAAGTAATTTATATATATATTAAGAAGATATTTTCACAAGTTTGTTGAGATGACCATCGGACGATTTGTAATTCCGGTTATCTATTGACCTTTTGATATAACATTCTACAAAGAAAGAGAGAGATAGAGAACAATAAATAAACGAGAATACTTCAAAACTGAAATATGTTGCAATCAATCGTGTGAGAGTAAAAGAAAGGAGATAGATAAGGGGTAGAAAAAAAAAAGAAATAAAAGCAACCCTTGACCGTTCTTCTCGTGCGTCATTAAATTTCTCTAGAACAATGAAATTAATCAAGTTAGTTTGTAATTTTCCATTAATTGATATAGAGATTTAAAGAATCTTCTTTTTTTTGTTTTTTTGTTTTTTTTTTTTTAATTTAATGATAACGAAATTGTAAATATTTGTGTGATGAGTTTTTTTTTTTTTTTTTTAAATTAAGATACTTAAATATCTCGAATAAAATAAAAATTGTATTTTTGATTTTGTATAAATTTGATGAATAATTTTATAAATTTTCAATATGACACATCACAAGTTTAACTGTACCTCTTCTTATAAGGAAACCACAATAATATACAGTGGTATAACTGTATTTTATTTTAAACGATAGAACAACAATATTTATTACAAATTTTACTTTTTTTTGTTTTTTTTCAATTCGTTGTTTTCAAGATATATAATTACGTGTTTATATATTTATATAAAATTTATTTTGCGTACGTTGACTGTGAATGGTATCGTTGAAAAAAAATTTGATGAACTTACAAAAAAAAGAAACAAGATATCTTTTCCTTTTCGAAAATGTTTCTTTCAAACCCTTTCATTCTTTCTTTCATTCTTTCTTTCTTTCTTTCTTTCTTTCTCTGTCTCTTGGTAGTTAACTCGTAAAACCTGCAAACTTCGTTTATTCTCCTGCATTGAATTTATGCACTTGTCCGTTACGCCACACGCCGCTCGTGTGCCACACACGTTTTCGTGAAATATCGTCTGGCTTGCACACTATGGAGACATATGGCGTGTTAGCGTGTATACTCCATTATACCATGCAATAGAATCTTTACTTTAGTTTCAAATCAAATTTAAATTTAACTATTCAAATCATTATATCACATTAAATTGTTATTTATTTGTAATTCTTGTTCTGAGAAACCAACTTTGAAATATTCAACTTTATAATGAAATTTATGATTTCTAAAAACGAGTCATATCATTTATGCAATATAAATCATTTTATTTATCTTATTTCATCTTATCTAAATAATAAACTATATACTATACTATACTATAATCTTATTCGTATAAAAAAGAAAATAAATAAATAAATAACCAACAGCGTCTATAATTAAATAATTAAATGTACATATACATATAGAAATTTTAAATCTTTAATGATTTCATTATTTATCTATTATGACAAGATTAACCGTGTTATTTTTATGAACTACTTGACATATCTGAGAATTAAAACGTAGGAAGTTTATATTATCGAAAGTTACAAGAGCATGCTTGAGACAAGGCATAGCTAGTAACACGTGCATGCATACACAAACACACACACACAGACACATCTCCGGATATATGCATATATACATATACAGACAATTTCTAAACGTGTAAGTATATCTTCTACCATATGGATAGGATCTAAGAAAAATAATAAGAGGAAGGAGAGAAGCCCAACAGGAAAGAACGATGCAGCTTACTAGATAATATATATATTTCTAGTAAGAGCTTCCGTAGATCGTTCTTTCAGCTAGCAGAATATCATCGCGTTATCCCTGACCTTTGATCGACTAATTAACCGAGTGCGCTCGCTTTAAAAGCAAAACGTCATCATCGATGCAAAGAAAAGGAGAGACGGATACGAAGTTACAACGACGGATACTACTGCGTTATGATTCGAGGTCGATGGCCTTAAAATGAAGATGCAAGGAGGTCTGCCAAAGTGAAACGCAATATCGACGACACAAACAATGTTTTCGACAATTTCTCTTAGAACTTGACATTCAGAATATACAACATGTATGTATGTATTACGTGTGTGTGTTTGTGTTTGTTTGTCTATCTCTATGTATGTTGTAGAATATCCTTTGAAAATCAACGAAATTCCTTTCCTTAGTTATGAATCATAGTGTGTGTGGACAAAATTTGATTAAATATGAAATTCTCTTTCTCTCTTTGGGACCCAACGAAAATGCCATTGGATGATACAATAGTAGAAGAATATTGAAATAACTTTGGAAACGTTATTTCAACGTAGAAAAGAGAGTAAAATAAATAGATTCTTTCCAAGTAGAGTAGATGAAAAATTTGGAAGGTTCTCGTTTGACGTCGATCGATCGAGTGAATGGTAAATGATAAAGTAAATAGTTGAGAAACCTGGTGTGTCTGTTCCTATGTACTTATATGTGTGTGTGTGCTACGTGCATGAGCGCGCACATCTGTTTGTGTATGTGTATGTATAGTTCAAAGTATGAGAGAAGAAAAGAAACCCATAGGAGCTTGGGTGTTCTCAACCTGGAGAATGTTATATACCTACTAGGTAATTTACCAGTTAGTCGTTCATTGCGTGTTGTGTGTTCACGAGAATCCTAAGCGGAACACTCCAGAGAGTGCATTATGAGTTCGGTAAGAAAGACCCACGTAATCCGGAAAGTACCCAACCGGATTCCTCATACGTTTGCTAACTGCCACCACCATCATTGACACAAAAAAGACAAGCAAACACTACTCGAATACCCTCTTCCTTTCTCTAAAAAAATGTTCTTTTCTTTCAACGTTTCTTCTTCTTCTTCTTCTTCTTCTTCTCCTCGATGAAATGAACAGAACAAATATATTGTACACATAGGAAGAAGTTTTATGTACGTACCTAGTTACGTGTTAGAACAGTGTATTATTGGATTATCCAACAAATTCGTACTGATTTTATACAGTAAATTTCCAAATAATAGTTTTATATTGGTAAATCAGCACGAACTTTTTAGGTAATGATAAAAAACGTATGGTTGACCTAAAAGTTCGTACTGATTTTACCATTAAATTCAAATACAACACTTTTGTATTGGCAAATCGTTACAAACTTTCAGTACAATTTAACGGCATGTACTACCCGTTTTTAGTCGAAAGTGTATACTTCGTCAAATAATTCGTTCTACTTTTTTTTTGTTGTTGTTCCCTTTTAGTTATAAACTGTCAAAGCCCGTTAGAAGTTGTATTCGTTATCAAAGATATATATCGCGAAACGGGTATTGTCGAGCGTGACTTCGGTAGGTGCACCAGTATGTGTGTCAAGCAATCAAGGTATGACTCGAGGCTATGGATCAACGCTCGGCTAGTAGGGTCCAAGAGTTAGAGCTACTTCTTGCTTGGAATTCGACGGGTGTCACGTTCCTCTTTCAAATGCACTCTTACTTGAAATTTGTCGTTCTAAATTATACCACGAATGAAGGATGATCGGCTAATCTGCTCCTCTTATTTTATTTCTATTTTTCTTGTTGTTCGTAAGTTTGGTTCGAATAATGTTTCGTTAGTTTGTACGATTCATATCTTCTTAATATATATAAATTACGTGTCACGTTGTTTGTCTATAATGGACTCCTAAACTACTTAACCGATTTTAATCAAATTTTGCTCACTGTGTGCAGTTTGATCCAAGTTGAATGATAGGATAGTTTATATCTCAATTTATAATTCGCAATATTATTTTATTGCGAAAGACGTGTGTATCGGACTGATTATGAGCGTACAACAACGCGTGGCGGGGCATCCCTAGTTTTTATATAAGCAAATGTTTAATAAATTACATTTTCTTTTATTACATATTTTTTTGTAGGATGCGTCGAAGATCCAGGAGGATGCAAAAGATGCAGAGGTGACACGTGCGCGAGATGTGCAGTACTATTGCATAAAGGAACCTGCGTTGATAGCTGTCCACCTGGACATACGGCAGACTGGTCGACGAGAGACGAATATATGGGAAGAGTTTGTAAAGAGACTGGTTACATCTTTGGGCTGACAGGTAGTCAGGTCGCTATCTTGGTGGGAGTTGTCTCCGGTGCAACCATATGTGTCTTCATCGTTCTTTGCGGTGCGATCATCGTTCACAGAAAGAAGAAAAAAGCGACCAAGATCGTACGGCAATTTGAGAACAGGTAGGTAGACTAACAGTAAAAGAAATTGTTCACTCGATTGAAATCCATTTTATCGTTCGTTTCGAATGTTGCTATCAAAATGTTTTATCACATTTTTGATTAACATTTTTTTCCTGGAGATCTTTCTTTTTGTTTTTCAAATTTTATCAACTTCTCTAAAACTTTTTACCATATATGTGGATACTCTTTGGTTTTATTTTATTTCCCATAATAACATTTGTATATAAATTCTTATTTTTTTTTTTTCTATTATTTTTACAAAATATAAAATATGAATGTTACTTTGTTCATTTTTCATAGATAAAATGTATTTCTTGTTATTAAAATACAAAATTAATCTCTAAAAAGTTAAAATGATATTTGACAATTCTTGTTAGCGTACAAATTTGACGATGCGACTTAATTGAAAGATTAGATTTATTATTTTATTATTATTAGAAAATATTTCATTATATTTAATGATTATCTGACAGTGCTGAAAGAAGAGAATTCCTGAGGCATCTTGCAACGTTAAGAGGTGAGGGACACACTTTCCTTTCCATGCTGAACGACACTAGAAGACAAGTTAGAGAATTATATTACTCCGGAAATAACGGGGACGGCGCAGTCGGCATTCAAGCGTACAGGTAAAACGATTATTTACAAAGTCGTCCATTAAATTCGTATCTTTTAATTAAGAGAAAATGAAGTTACTGAAAATGAGAACTAATCGATTAACAATTATTTATTATTCTAACGTTTAGACCCGTTCTCCGAGATCTCGCAAGGATATTAGTCCTTGTTAACAAAAAGGATGAAGACATACAGTTACCTCCTGATGACTGGCAAAGATTATTATCTTGGGCAGAACGTTTGCTCAGAAGGTACAAGAGACACAGTAGTCCAGAAGTAAGTTTAATTATTTTCTAATGATTACATTATTTAAATTAATACGCCGGATTCTCTCTCTCTCTCTCTCTCTCTCTCTCTCTCTCTTTCTCTCTATCTCTCTTAATTTCTTCTTTAATCTTTCTTTATTTTTCATGGCAGTCTGTTAAACATTTCGGTGAGTATTACGATGAGAATGTATTGTATTTTATTTGTGTGTGTGTGTCTAAAGGATATACGTGTTTAGAGTCAAGTATATGAGCTATAATCAAAATTAGAATACATAATAGAAGAATAAAGAAATTGATATTATTTTAATAAGTGAAATGTGATTTTTTAAGGTGGCTCAACTCGTGACATTCCTACAGCATCCAGCAAGTTCCGTCCAAACGAATCCAACGGAGTCGGTAGTAATAACACCACCGTCTCAACCGTTTGAACCTAGAAGTACGCCGACTAATTTAACAACATTTCAAGCTAACTTACCACTCGCTACTTTTCAAGCGAGCGACAAGTCCAGTATTAGTCCAGCCAGCTCGAGTTTAGGATATGCCAAGGATAGTCCACTTGGGTCGAGTTTAGGACAAAATAGTTCCATGCCCTATCACGATAAACTCGGACGTAACAACGAGTCTACGATGGGACAAATGACTCCTTTGGTATTTGGCATGCAAAAAAGACTGAAATCAAATGGGTCACATTTTCAGGAATTAGCCATATCGGTGTTCAATAATCATAACGGTGGTGCTACGTTACCAGATATCAATCGCGGATCTAATCCTCGTGAAACTAGTGTTCTCGATCGTGAAATCAATCCTCAATGGGAATTTCAAAGCGCTGTTGAAGCTGCTAATTATACCATATTGTCCGATAGATTACCCGATTGTGACTACCTCATAGATGATTTCACGATCCTTGGCTTTAGGCCGCAAGATGAAATTACTACCGAATTGTAATGAGATTAGATATACAGATAGTATATACATATATGTAATTATATATATCAGAAGTATTATATATAATAATATATTTATAAAAGTATTATATATAATTATATATATATATTATACTTATATATATATAATTATATATATATATATATATTATTTCTATAGATTAATAGAAAAAGAAAATCATTCAAATATGTATGAACAATATTCGATGAAAAATGAAAATAGTTTAACGTTTCAGCTTTCAATGCAACTAAATTTCATCCTGCTTTACGCATGATACAATTTATAAAGTTTTCCAGATTTATCGAATGCATAAATTCTATTAATTATTAAAAATTATCATACATATCCAGTTAGTTACGGGAAGACAAAGTAACAGTGACACCAAATAACTATAAGAAATTTGTAGAAATATTCAATTTTAATTTAATGATCGAATTGTTGTACATGTTTATTATTAACAATTATTCTGTATATATTAACATACTAGTCAATGTCTTAATGTGGGTTCTTTATCATCATTATTATTATTATTATTTTTTCAATTCGTGTCATCATAATTCTAAATGAAGGTTGATCATTCAATGTAAATTTAATTCGATGATTATCAATTGAGTAATTACGATTATTTATTAAATATTATTTGTTAATGTTAATATTATTAGCCCTTATAGGACGTGTCAGTCACGTCTCTCTCTAATGGCAACGATTTTTTGGCGATGCCTTTGTCCTGTCACATAAAAATGACAATCAATTTATGTATATTGCATATAAACACCAAAATCAACTACAACGGACAACCTAATGAAAATCGTATTAAAAAAGCTGACGATCGATAAGGGCTAATAATTATCGAACGCAAAAGAAAAAAAAAATGAAAAATAATAGAAATAATTCAATTCGTTTCTTCTTTTGTTTTTTATTTGAAAAGATAAATATTTATAGAAAAGTAATAATCAATTGCACAAAGAAATACCTATCATAGGAAATATGAATAATCTATTATTATTTGTTGTGTGTATGTGTTTTTTTCTTTTTTTTTTTCAATACTTTGAAGATTGTCGACGAAAGTGATTTTTGATAAAATTAAACAATAGATTATTGATTAATAATTTAGAAAATTTTTAATCCTTATTATTATATCGAACGTTAATCATATCACATTTGTCTACAATTTTTAAAACATTCTAAGATTGAATGAAAATATGTGTGCAATTATTTAAATATTTCATATCATTCCATTACTGTGTCTGGCCAAATCGATTCTTGTACAAATATCTGTAAATGTAAATGTAAATACCGATGAATATTTTTAGTAATAAATTTAAGAGAAACACAAATATCAAATATATATATATTAAAAATTAAAAGTTTAACATTATTTCGACGAAATTAAATCAAGTCAAATCAAAAAGTATGTATAACGGAATATTACAGATACTTTTTTTTATAATAACCGATTTAATTATTTTTCGTATTTATTATATTTCCCTCTTTTTTCGTTTTTCATTATCTGTAATCACGTCTGTTGTTCTGTTTTACCATGCGATTCACGAAAAATACCACAGATATATATATATATATATATATATATATATATATATATATTGATTTGATTTTATAAAAAAGAAATTTATTATACAAATTTAAATAAAAAACGATTGATATCTTCTATTTAACAAATTAGAGAAATTAGATCAGAACAATGGAAATTATCGATTTTCTAGCATGCCCGCAGTTAAATGCCAATGCTGCCTCTGTCGATAATCTCTGATAAAAAATAAATTTATCAAGTATCCGCCATATTGATATTATCCATAAAGAAATCAACGTACTTACCGACGGTAATGCTTTAATCTTATAAGTTAGATGAATCTATGTATTGGAGAGATAAGAAACAACTGGAACACCATCTACAGTGAGGTACTCTAATGAAAGACGTGACGTAATTGGTTCTTTAGAATACATCATTAATTTCCAGCCAATTGGAGCACTAGTTTGCAAAAAGAAACTTACACTAACTTCCGGCAAATACATATTTATATTAGTTGTGCTCACGTGTTCTCATCATGTATCTTCATAGTAGGAAAATACTCGATCGTACTCTCCATACATTTATATCGGGAAGATAGAAAGGAAAAAAAAGAAGATAATTGGAAGACGGACTAACTAAGAAGACATGAGTACGTATGGAAGAAAGAATGGACGAACAGGTTGATACGTAAAATCGATCGGGTTGATGGAACTTCGTCATTGTTATCGGGAGAATTTTGGTTTGGCGGTTCAATCTGTACAGGAAGGTATATTGAATGCGCGCGCAACCGGAAATTGCGCACGCATTAACGACTATACGATATAAGGAATACTTGATACATTAGATTTAAATATTTTTCAAATAATAGGATAATAGATTATTTTTAAATGCATAAGAATTCGTTCCCTTCGACGTAGAAAAAATTGCGTGAGGAATATTCTCATGCAAGTTAATAGTAAAAGTCGCGTCCTTCGGACGCACCAAGCGCGTAAGTTCCTGCGGGGTGGGCGAGGGACGCCATGACAGTCGTCGTATTTTCTGTTAACCGCGAGCACGTAGGCAGATCCGAAGATTTTCGTGAAATTACGTGGCACGTCGGTATCGAACAGGACCGAATTTGGTCCTACGTTATTCCGTTTTCGACGGCGTACACTTTGATGGTATTGTTGAAGCGGAGGGCGAGGGAGCGTGGCCATTATCGAGGATTTGCTTGTGGGCATCCGTGGCGAGGTGAGACGTCGAGAGGCGGCGAAAGGCGTCCCCCCTGCGTCGGGACGCGCGTCTCCCCGTGCACGGGACGGCCTAAGGCCGTAAGAGCGAGATGCCCGAGCCGCCGACGGCATCCTTTACCACGTGAGTCCTATTCTCTAAGCTCTATTTCAAACCTAACTTTAATACTCGCTGGTTCTTGCCCTGGTCAAAGAACTCGCTGCGCCTCGTTTCTTTTGCCTCCATCTTTATTTCTCTTTCTCTCTTTCTTTCTATACGTAGCCTCCTTTCTTTCTTTTTCTATCCTTTTATACAAACCTATATGTATATGTATATATATATATATCTCTCGGTCTATACATATATATATATATATATACATATATATAGAATATATCTATTTTTTTATTACCCTCCCCGCTCTCCCCTTCTTTTTTCTTGCTCTCTCTTCTCTCTCTCCCCCCCCCTCTCTATCCGACTCGTTACGATGCACATACAGGTATATTCCCTTTCCCCCGAATCTTGTGTCACCTCCATCTTGTGGCCCCTTGTCCCCGTTCCACGTTCTCTCTCTACGAAGAATATAATTCACGCGTCATATGTGCGAGAAAACAGGAGAGATAGATGGTAAACAAGAAGAAAATATTCCCTCGAGCGCAGGGAGTTCTATCTACGCCGGTTCGTCGTGGCCGACATTGGAACAAGCAAGGAAGCATAACAGCTGCGTTACCGTAACGGAGGTGCCGCTGTTGTTGCCGCTGAAACGCTGGCAGCCGCTTTCATCGCTTTTACGCGGCCTTTGTCACGCTCCCGAAGATGCTAGTCGATGACTCACCCATTTCCCGCCCTGTCTCGATCGACAAAATGTTGTCCGGAGGTTAAAACCCGATCGATTACATACGCGAGGATCCAAAGCTATCATATTATCTTTAATATCGCAAGAGATTGCTACTTTAGCTGGTGCTTATATTCTCTGTGTGTTTATTCCGATCGATCGCCACGTCGGATCGCGCGTATCGGAAAATTCCAACATACACACATACAGATACACACACACACATATATATACATACAAAGACAGAGAGAGAAAGAGAGAGACAGAGAAAGAACGATGATGACGTCTGCGATTTTCATAGCTCTGACAAACTCGCGATCGAATCGAGCTACATTTTTGAGGTTAAACGCCGTGACACTTATTTTTCTTCTATTTACCATACAGATCCTACCGATTAATCATTGAACTCATTTATTATTGTACTATATATAATCATTTATGAATTTTAGTTTGGTCAAAGGGGAGTATTATGTTCCTTAAAAAAAAAAAAAAACGTTATGGCATTCGTAAGGAAATTACGCGATTCGAGGAATAAGTAAAAGTTTCAAAATGATGATAATGATCATGATAATGACAATGATAGTTGTAATTTCGATAGTAGTTTCTCAACAGAAGTTATTGAAGTTAAGATTTAACTTCTAGTCATGTGTTCTGCAGGATGAAAAGTGAATTATGTCAGAAGCACTTAATTGGTAGCCTTCAGTGAACGAAGATGAACAGCGAGCAGCATGCATTGCCAGCGACAACGCAGGCTCAACAAGAGGTGAGAATATTTTTAAACGTATGCAGGCTACTTACCAAGCTACAAATGCGCGATGGATATATATTTATGTTTAAAGATATATTAGGCATTATTTGAAGTAAGATTAATTATCTTATTACTTTATTCGAAGCTAACGTTACTCTGTCTATCTTGTTCTGTCGTTTCGAAGCTAGCTACACAAGCTTAGATTATTAACAATAATAAACGATGATTTAATTATATTTTTGGTATTGTGTATATATATATATCTTACTCATTTTTTAAGTAACATGTTAACTATATAACTTATCGGCTTAACATTGACATTAAATGTTCGGTGACGAAATGCAATTTACATTTTATCTTTGTAATACATTTAATCTATATACTTGAAATAATCTGAATTTCCTTCCTAAGAGTTAAAAGTACGTGTTGTTAACTACACAACAAATGAAAATCTGTTTTGTATTTAGGTAAATAATAACCAGTCTTTATAATGCTTGAGCCTAAACTCTTCGGAAAGGACTTAATCCTTACTGGCGCACTTGTCGATTGGAATCAAGCCTGGTGCATGCTTTTGCATGCCCTATTGATGTTGTACAAATGTCTGAATGTATATCGGTAGGATGTAAATGCGGGTCAAAGTGGTCGTCCTTCATACCCAGGTGGTTTGGCTACTTCGACTGGCCTTGGCAATGTGGGGAATACTCCTCAAGCATCCACAGACCTGC